GTCCTTTTGAATAAGAGATACTTGCTTGATAAAATGGAGTTGTCTCTAGTTGTAGTTCCGACTATTTTTAAAAGGTAATTTATTTTTTGAAAAGCCTAAATATAATTCATTTTAGTTCATTTAAAAAAAAAAATTAGCCTTTTCTGCAAAGATTAAAATACAGCTACTCGAAGGTATTGAAAAGTCTGTGAGGATTTGAGAATAGTTTTCATGGAGACATGACTTTGCTGAAGAAAAGCCCAGGCTTTCTGGTGTGCACTGTATGCAACAGAAAGGCAAGGAGGGGAGCAGTTGAGACCATGAAGAGAACAAAAATGAGATGGGCTTTGCAGATGATGCCGCGGAGAAGCGCTGGGAGGAAATGAAACTTCAGATGCTGCTGGTGGTGGATGGACAGGCGATAGTTGCATGAAACCTGACTGTGTGCTGTGGGAAGTACTGTGGCTTTAGACACACTACTCTCCTGGTATTACAGCAAAAGGCAGATAAAGCAGCAGTATTTTGGGGGTAGACAACTTTTAACCCTGGCAAAATGTTGCACTGCCCTGGCCCGTAATATGTTTGGAAAGACGCAAATGCAAGCAGCAAGACAGAGCAGGGGTTTCAGAGGGGAAATTCAAGGCATCAAAAGGGGTGTCTGTGGGACAACCTGCTGCAGAGCCTTTGTGTGATGGTTCTTATGGATACTCCTGTGGCTTTTCAAAGGATGCCTAAACTTAGATCCTTGTAACCACACTACAGATGTTAACTCAAGTAACTGTCTTTACCTTTAAGCCACAGAATACAATATGCTCTTTGCTAGAAGAGAAGCTGATACATGTTTAGGTACCTGTTTATAACAATTATTGTTATACAGAGGTTTTTTTTTTAATTAAATGTTTATCTTTCATGTCCAGAGGTGTGAACAGGACAATAAATGAAAAACATGGATGAAAAGTAGTATCTCCTGTATTGCAGAGCTGTTGGGATGGGAAACGTCTGAGGAGGGCTTGACAGCATTTCCTCTGATCTCTCAAATATTTTTATCTCTAGAAAACAATAACACAGTTTCATTGGTAATGAATCTCTTGATGGCTCTTTGCTTGCCATCTCTTTCTCTTTATTTCTGCACAACACACTTCCTTGATGCTCATTGTGATATGGCAACAGAGAGCTATGCAAATAAACCAAGTGAAATGTTTTATTTATGCCTGAATGAACTTCCCCTTTCAGATTTTCCTTATGACTACTCTATAAACTAAGATAGATGTACACTGCATGCACATTTTGTATTTCAAAGCTTCTTTTTTGTATGGTTTGAATGTGTGTGAAGTTAACTTGAATGATTATGTAGTATTTTGTATTTTGAAATCCATAATTTAATGTCTGTTGGTTGAAAGTCATGCATCAATGCCTGCTGGCCCTGTGAATCCTTACTTTGATACCACTTTCAAAAACCTGGAAAAGACCCGAATCAGATTTCAGTGAACGCATATAATACTGTGCTGAAAAAAACCCACATCTGGCATTGCAGATGAACTGAGCAGCGACCGAGCAGAAGCTTTTGAAACAAAGGCGGTTACATTTACTCGGACTATAGGACTGTTCTTGTGGAATTTCAAATGTGCAGTCTGGAACCCAGGGCAAACAGCCTTACAGAGGGCTGGTATATCTATAAGTATAAGGTCTTTTGGCCTTTGCAGAGTTAAAAAATCTTTCATTTCACAGCATCAAAAGAACATGTACTCATCGATCCAGTTTCTAGTGCTTAAAAGCAATTTTCAGCTTTGTTTAGGCTGTGTCTCCATCGTTTGTCTGTACTTGTTTAGAAATAACAAAAGGTCAGAAAAATAAATATTTAAATTATGTATCATACTTAACTATGTTGATATATATTAAGTAGTAAACTTTCTTTTACTTTATTTTTAAATTTTACTCTACTTTTACTGCCTAAATTTAATATGTTTCTTTTGAAAGATTTAAGAGGCTTATCACAAAAAAAGATAAAAATATGAAGATGTGTCTATATTACCATTTTAGTTAGATCAGAATCCTCCTCCTGAAGTAGTTGCCCTCACATGTCAGGCTCTAGTTTGTGTTGTGGAGCAGAGAGTTCAAGAACTAGACTGCTTTAGGAAGATGCAGTGCAGGGTTTGCCTCTAAATAAACCCTTGCTATGGTCTTGCATCCACTAAATGTTCAGTCCTTGGGGCTGTACTGGAGTGAATGGGGCAGTAATCTGCCTTGAAGGCAGGCATGGGCTTCAGCATCAACTGTTGAGGCTATTTGCTAATGTAGATCTAGGTAAATCCTGTGAGGACTACAGGCTTTCATCTCCATAGGGGGAAAAAACCCAAACAAAACACAACACAACCTGAAAAAAAACAACACAAAATGACAAAAAAGACCCAAACAAAACCAACCAAACAAAAAAACACCAAAAAACTGAAACAAAACAAAAGATCCACAATGGTCCTTCATGATGAGGCTCAGGATTTTCTCTTTGTTGGGTGCCATCACGTGTTTTCTCACATGCTGTATTGGTGTGATTTCACACAACCTCAAGTAGACTTCCATGGGATTAGGGAGCACCTGCATATTGTCATTACTGATCCATTGTTATTACTGTCATGAACAAATGCTAACCTTGAGCTTACCAGCACAACCTCACAGCAGGCTTATGTTACAGCTGTTCACATGCTTTAAGCTGCAGAAAAAAATCTGAGTAAAAATGCTTTTCTTTGAGTTTACACCAGCACTGGGCAAGCTACAGTCTCTAAAGATGCTTTCAGGTTTCTTACAGCAATAGGGAAAGGGATTTTTGGCTGACAACTTAGATCAAATTACCTTATGTCCTCCACTTTAGCTATTTGTTCTCCACAAGCAGAATTATTCAAGGGCAAAAAGGTTAGCACATAGGTGGCTAAATACCTGATTTTGCAGATACAGCAGGTAATTAAACACTGGCCTTCCTGTTGTCCAGGGTGAGTGTGCAAACATCAGCCTGCCTGTGCATGTACAAGAATTTCCTGTAAACCATTTAGTTACAGAACAAGAGTCATCCATATATCCACAATTATAAGTAAATGTTTTGTGTTTGTTTTTTTTAAAAGGCCTTATCAGCATTTCAAAACAGCCATTGTGTAACCTATGTAGAGCTGAGAATTTGGAAGAAGTTCCCAATAGGTGCTCTCACTGATTAAAGACACTTGCTTCTAAGGGGAGATCCTGGCTGAGTGTGCCCCCCCAGTGCCTTCAAATGAGTACGAGAACATTGAAATGTTGACACACAAGGAGAGGAAACTGTATTCTCTGCCTCTGTGGGATGATGAGGCCTGGTCAGTGCCTATAGATTTTCTGTATGGTTCAATAGGAGACATGAAGACATGAAGGGGAGCAATGAGTTCTCATGCTCCTTCTAAACCAGAATCACAGTTCACTGCATCCCATCTGAAATCTCAGAGATGCCTAAGACCTATTTGGCCAATAGGTGACAACTGGCTTGCAGAAATGGTTGGAGAGGAGATACCACCCTCTCATGTTTAGAAGAAAGTGTTCAGCCCAGGGATGGGACTGTAGATCTGTTGTTGTGAAGTGCTTCATCAACAGCAGGATGGGAGATTACATGAAGGTGATGTGGAAGATTGAGATCTGCTGTATGGGAGTGGCTTTGATTTGTTGCTGTAGTCAATTAATATTGTTCATTTTATCAGTATTGCTACAAAAGTACAAGTCTTAATATGGACCCAGACCAATCGGACTTAACTTTTCATCTTACATGGATGAGATGTGTAAGGTGCCATCCCACTGAAACTGTTTTGTGTGCAAGTGGGGCAACTCTCCTACTTTAACTGTTTAGTGTGATGACCTTTTCTGTCCTAGAGATGAAGGTAAAAGGGAGATGCAGTACAAGGTGTTACAATCTGCTTTAGCTGTGTTTTAGTCAGTGCTGGTTGACTTCAGCCTGTATATGCACTGAGCTCTTATTTTAGGTTTTACATTGTTCTTCAAAGAACTGACTTTAAAGATTAATTAGGGCAGCGAGGGAGTGAGAGTGTGTGCCTGCAAGGGAAAATGTGACTGTGAACCTAGCATTAGAGCACTGACCTGAACAGAGGGAGAGAGGAAGGAAGGAGAGGTTTGAAAACCATTCATAGTGGATTCTTTAAAGAGTAAGTACAATTACTGTCTTCTGAGGGAGGAATATAGAGATAATGTTGTATATGTGCTCGCTGAAGTACTATGCAATTACATCATGGGATTAGCAGTCACGTTCCAGTCATGTAGATGCTAACAGCTGTATCTCATCTGATTTAGCATGGGTGCACATCCTGAGGAAAGTATTATGCTTCTAAATTGTATTGAAGAAGAAATGCATTGGCTATTTTATAGTGCTGTAAAAACCTGTTTGAACAAGGAGATTCATTACTGAAGGTCACAGCAGCAGCAGATCTGCCATGGAGCTGGGACTGCACAAGTCATCAGCCTCATGTGAGATGGGGATTTTAGTCAAACTGAGCTCCGTGATAGACTGGCATATGCAAAATGAAGTGGGGAGATACAGGCATTGCTAGCTCCAGCTGCAGTTCTCATGATTTGGGCTGGAATTTTTCCTACATCTTCCAAAGTAGCCTTTTCTCTAAAACATACAAAAATAAGTTGTTACTACAGTCGTTATATGTTTCTTATACCTATTCTGAAGTTCACAGAAGTAGCAGAAAGATGTAAGGGTTTTCTGAGGGGGAGATTGGGAAGAAAAGATGGTAACTTTGAAAATGTTGGAAAAGTAAATAACTATTTTGAAATATTCACTTCATCTGTAGATTGAGACAATAAGTAATTTCTTTCCTTTGGAGCAGAAGAGAAGCTTTTGACGTTAGTTCCTAACATTCAGTTGTTCTCCCCATGAACTATTTGTGTGAAAAGGAAGCATGTTTTTGCTGCACAGCCCAGATGATCGCATGAAAACTGCTTCGTTTGTGGCATAATGTTTTTGTTTAATACCTTTTTTATTCCAACAGGAAATATGGGATGTATAAAATCAAAAAGGAAAGAGAATCTGCAAGGAGATGGGATAGATTTGAAGAATCAACCAGTACGTAAAACTGAACGAACTATTTATGTGAGGGATCCAACGTCCAATAAACAGCAAAGGCCAGTAAGTAGATAGTCTCAGGGGAGAATTCCAGTAGCAAGATGAAAGCATGACTGGCATAACTTAAATCTCAATCCAAAGTACATGAATGAAGAAAATAAAATGAGCTTTAGTCCACAATTGGACTTTCACTCTTGTGCAGTTCACCCTCAATGAATAAGTACTTACAGAAATAAAAATTGAAAATTGGCAGTTTGTTACTTAATTACTCTGTGTGTGTTATAGTTTTCTGCATGAAAACGCTAATCCTTGGCGACCCTTGATCTAGATATTGGTACATCTGTAGGAGAATTCTAGGTAACTTTAGGAAACTGTAGCAGTTTACAACCATTCTTAAAAGCATCAGTGTTGGGTTTTTAATAGCTATGGGATCCAGGTGTTCTCTTTTAAAAGGCTGAGGTGATCATGGGCAGTTCTTTACCAGCTCTGGTCAACTTTTGTTTTAGTCACTGAAGGCCACTACCCAAGGTTGCAGGAGGGGCATAGGTAAGGAGGGGAGGGGTTGAAGGGAGCCAGATTGTGTCTAATGGCAGTTCCTTCTGCACTGCCTGGCATTAGAACTAAGGAAGGGTGCTCCGAAGGGCAATCCCATCTAGTACCAAGTAGGTTTGCTCTTTTTTAGAATAACTGGTACCTTTCTTTCTCCACCCTCTCTCCTGTGCTGAGGACACCGTATTTCCTGACTGCCCTTGTTCTGGGGCCAGGCTTTCTGCAGGTGTGAAGGGCACCCTTTGCCCCCCACTCACCCCCCAACACGGTGGACCCAGTGTGTCCTCAGTCAACATACACACAGTACAAACTACCATTCCCTCTTTGTAATGACTTCTTTTGTCTTGCAGATTCTTAGCAACTGTGCTTGTAGTTCTTTAGCGTGACAGCTACATGTTAATAACTGTCCTGTTAAAGTGCTCGGCCTAAAGCCTCTTCAGCAGAAGTCACAAAGCTGTGAACTTCTTCCCCACAGCTTGTGTTGCACTATCCCG